TAGTAATAGATTTCCCTTTCCAATCTCGTTAATCTCAATCAATCGATATATTCCTTAAACCAACAAGGCAAGCCCCACGAGAAGGCTATACAAACACAAGATGGAAGCGAGGAGACGCATGAATGATACAAGAATACTACAAGTACAGCATCTCCATAAAAAGAATGCCAAGGAAGGGAAAGCCATAAGAGATAGATCAGATACTACACATATCGTTACAGGGTCGTTACAGGACGCCACCTTCGGGCGTGTGGGAGTATAGAAGTTGTGGGGCAATAAATGAACGAAACAGAAGGTAGGTAGGTGGGTACATCGTTCAAGCTGAGAAGAGAAGGCCTTGGTACCTTCGAAGAAGTACATGTGACGGTGTCCAACGGGGGGTATCAGGTCGACCAGCAACTGAATGCAAAAAGTCGGTGTTGGATATCCGATACGCACGATATCGAGTTAAGGGTGTCGACGGCGCGTTTCCACTATAATAATAATTGCTGACAAAAAAGAAAATGAAGTCGGTTTTTTTTCTCTCTTCTTGAAGAATGGGCGGTATCCCAGGACCGAAACACGGGCCGTAGCGGAAATGAAGATTCCTGATATGTATATCACGCAGAGAGGTTTTTCCATGCATCGAAGGCACCCTTGACCTGAATTAAGAAAAGACGAGATATCTTTAGCTCCAACTTATCCACGGGGGGAAATATACCCAGGGCTAACCCACCTTGGCGAAGAATCCGGTGTCGGCGACTACTCTGAACCCAGTCAGTGCCAGAGCTTTGGTGACGAGCATGGTCGCCTCGTGTGCTTGTTTACTTGCAGCTGCCTCTGCGAATGCGGGTGTATGGTTTCCTCCGTGCGGTTTCGTCGGAATGGCTGTGCGAGAGAAAATAAATTGCTCGAGGTCAGCGAACAGCCCCACTCGAAAGATTTATAGAAAAAAAAATTGGTTGCGAAGATGGTGGAGTACTCACTAAACATCGGATGGAATGCGGGCAGTTCTGGTAGACCCTCGTAAGTTTTTGTGTATTGAGATATTCTCAGTTTCTTACCATAGGTGACATTCCCCTGCAACCGACAAGTTAGCACTAATCCCTAGCCGAATACGAAACAAGCTGTGCTCACAAAGTCGGTGGAAGCAGAAGTCCCGTCCACGCTAGATGACATACCATAACGCGACCCTACGATACTGACGAAATCATGCGCTACAGTGCCGCTAACATTAATCCCCGAAGGACGTAGCGAAAAACCAAAACCCACCGAGGACTTCGTTCTGATGTAGATCGAAATATGGCGTTTCAACATGTAGTTTTACTGTGCATGACGTTGCCAGTGCGGCAGCCCTAGTTTCACTTGGTCAGGGAGCACATTTAATCCGCGAGAAGTTCGATTACTCACTCGAAACACTTTTTAACCCTTTCTACAAAGGCGAGGAGCTCCTTGGAGGTCGGGGCGCGTACGTACCAGCGCATTTGTGCGTAGTCGGGTATAACTGAGTATCCATCGGTCAGTACCAGTTCCGAGGTGAATCCCGGTGTCGGGAGTCGGCTAAGCGGAGAGATTCTACTCACTGTTCGGGACCCAGTTTGTACCTTGTATTACCCCATGGACGCGATGATCAGGCTTCATCTGTTGGCGCAACACGGATATATTGGAGTATGCGAGGAATGCGGCGTCTTGGGCATTTGTTCCTTCCCTGTTCCATTACAAGTCCAGGTCGAAGGGGATAGACGGGAACGTCAATAGAAGTGCGAAATGAAGTAGCTTACAGATCAGCGGAAGTTACCAAGCACGCAAATGGGAGACTCACCACGGTGCTGCACCAGCATGTGCGCTGCAATCATGAAACGGAGCCAAATCCCGACCACATCGCAGGAATGAAGGTGAAGAAATTTTCAAGGAGCAAGGTTGCGAGGATTACAAGAAGGAAGGTAATGATTAATACCCGTTTGGTCGACCGCAACGAATTGTACCTTACCTTTGGCCAAAAAATTCAACCTCGATTGCCTGCATGGCCGTCGTCGAGCCGATACTAGCAGAATTGACACGACCGGCTCCTGGATGACACCTACAAGGATTGATCATCAGAAAATGGATCAGAGAAGGAGGATAACGGGATTAGGCTTTCTGGTGGATGGGAATGAACATACATGATACAGGCATCCATGCCCTTGTAGCCACCTCTTTCCAACATTATCACCTTTCCCCCGCCTCCTTCCTCCGCTGTCAATGATACAGTGTGTGAGAGGCCACCGAAAGAAATAATCGACCAGAACAAACCTGGAGTGCCTAGGAGGACAACCTTCCCTGGTATATTGTGTGTCTGTAGAGCGGCTTTGAGAGCTAAGGCGACGCCTACGCCGCTGACAGCAATGAGGTTGTGGCCACATGCATGACCCATGCCCTGTAGGGCGTCCATCTCGGAGTTGATACCGATTGTTCGGCCACCCTTGAGGTGTTGAAATTCTGCACGCCATGCAGTCTCCAGGCCGAGATAATGGCGAGTTACACGGAACCCATTGCCCTCCATGAAAGACGTGAGGAGATCATGCGCATATCTATATCCGCGTCAGATGGCAAGATGAGCCACAGACAAACTGACGCACTTTTCCTGGAACATGAGTTCGGGATGACCTACACGGGTGTAAGCAGGAGGATCGAACATGGGGTGGTTATGGACGCACCGTGGATAGAAAGACTGAGGTTACGCAGAGAGCTGTCGAGCGTGTCGACAGTCTGCTCGATAGTCTTTAGGACATCGGTGGTCAAGAGTTCAGAGTTCTTCTCAGAGTAGACTGGGAGTGGCTCATGGGACAGCACACTGGATTTTTCCGAGGCAAAGGAAAAATCACAACAGGGATTGAGATAGACGACTCCCTTCTGGAGGTCCGTGGGTAATGATGATTGGGTGCATGATGACGACAGAGTTACCGAGAGGTCGTGCTTGGCACATCCAAGAGACCTACGGTGTTCGTGCAGCTGCTGGCGGGGCTGGCACGGGAAAAGAGCTCTAAGAAAAGCTGGGAAGAAACTGGAGAAAGACATGGGTGGTGGTGGGGAGAGGGAGAGATGTGCAGCAGGACATTTTGAATGGGAGGATCTGAAGGCAGATCTGTGCGGATCTCAGTTACCCAGAAGAGTGTTCCGGGGAGATCGGGATCACACATTGAGCGAATGCTCTCACTAAAAGCGGGGCGTAAGATTGGGTGTGCTCGCAAGATCTCTGGACAACAGAGCAATTCTCATTACATCATACAGCTTATTATTCACTTGCGCAGAAACAACTTCTGCCAGAACCCTGCTTCCTCTCTGTATTCATCCCGTCCCGCCAGCCCAAGCACGATCCGCCCACTTCGCGTGAATACCTCGCACAGATCTCCTTGCCCGTCTCCGAGGGTCACCATCGTCTCGCGTTCTGTGCTCTTTAGTACCCGCATTCCCCCTGCGAGTGCGGGCAAGAACCGCATTTCTCCTTTCGCACTCTCCACTCTGATTACTCCCGAAAATGTCTCTGGTACGTACACGACCACGTCGCCTGTGCGAACGGATGCATGTGGAAGGTTCGACCAGAAGCGCGTTAAAAACACCACCAAAGATAAAAGACGAATGAAATCAGATATCAGCAAACCAGAAGTCACATCAAGCAGTGGGGGAAAGCAAATCAGAAGACGCCATGGCAGCTGATAGCTGCTTGCGCCTTCTTTTCACCCCAGAATCTGAAATATCTAAATATGAATTCAGCTCACCTGAGCGCGAGAAGACGTCAAGGCCTATATACGGCTGTCTCCTCACCGTCATTCCTCCGGGAGATGTCGCATCTCGAGACAACTATATGGCCAATTCATTAGCATCAAGGAAACTATATTCCAGCCCGTGACGGTCGTGGAAATTCATAAATGTCGACAGGCAACTCAAAAAGTTAAAGAACCACGCGAAAGAACGGACTACACTGAATTGGACCAACGGCCGAACTCAGGCAATGAGACAATCTAACAATGCATGCGTCCGAGGACGAGGCACGGGTCGGAACTCACCATTGTAACTTCAATTTTGCCACACCTACTCCCGACAAAAACGTTCGCCCGTTCCTCCCTCTCATCTCCTGCTCTCGCGCTCGACGCGGTGGCTAATTGCAGTTTAATATCCCCTTTTCTCGTTTGGAAACTGGCATGTGGCGCTTCTACGGTACCCTTCTTCTTGCCTTTCCCCCTTTTTTTCCTCCCATACCTCGTTTGAATAGTTGGCCCGTCACCATGCGCCGGTGTCTGCGGGTCAACATGAAATGTCCCTGAATTCTCTATTATTCAACACCGGTCTCCCCGAGGCAGTAACTCAAAGTTTCAAACTGACCAACAATATCTTCCTTCCTCGAGAAGACATGAACTTGGCTCACGCTCGCCGCTGGCGCCACTATGGGTTTTGACGGTGACGGCGGGTCTCTTGTGATAGTCCCACTTCGCTGGGGAACTACAGTGTACGGCGGTGGATTTTCCATTGGAAAGTCCTGCGCCACAATACTTCAGCTGAGCGTCATGATAATGCTGAAAAGGAGCCCACCTTCTCAGGGACAGGAGGAACGACTATGGTCTGACCTTGCAAAATCATTTACAAAACGGGGGAGATGGTGAGTCAGTGACTGTGGCTATCTGTCTCAATATTATATATATCACAAGACACAGCCCAAACGGCGGCGCGCGAATCGAATGTCGTCGTTAGTAAGGTTATCGGTCGGGTGAAGAGGACCTGTACAACTGCGCAGGCCAATATAAGACATGCACAGCGACTGCGGAGCACAGCCTATGCCTGATTTTTATCAAAAACACATGAAGTCTTGGGCCTGACCGGGAATTGAACCCGGGACCTCCTCGATATTGCTATATAGCCCTAACAAGGAATCATACTACTAGACCATCAGGCCTTGATTCTAACGCCCCGGGCATCCAGACTGACGATGCATGACGTCGACAAGATACAAAATTACAGGATAGGCAAAATTCAGAGAATTGCTAGGGCCTGACCGGGAATTGAACCCGGGACCTCCTCGAAGCAAGGCTCAGAAGCCCTGAAGATTGCTCTCCCGAACGAGGAATCATACTACTAGACCATCAGGCCGATAGGGGCAGGGACGCTGTCTTTCTTTGCAATATCATCTATCACTAACCGTCGCCGAATTGCTGCATAGAGTAGAGTTGCTAAGATGTTTGCGCCGATCATCGCTCACGGGAACTCTCCCGTGGTCGAACAAGGCTGTTCGCACTGGTTCGGACATTACCTCTTTGGACGCAGATTGTGATCAAGTTTGAAGATCCCTTATGGCTATGGTAGGCCGAGAAGGGTTCACTTGACTTGGGTACCACGAGTACGTTGGAGCTATTGAAGAATACACCCCAGGTTCCAGACCCTGTGATTGACACCCTTAGGCCCCAGTGCCGTTCTCTGGATTCAAAGAGATGGGGAATTGTTTTCCCATCAAAAGGCAAGATAACAGGGCAGGTGAATATGCTAGTCCTTTAATCGTTACAAGTATGAACGGTGATCCTGAAAGGGATCACGAAATAAAACTTTATGTTCAACCTCCTACACAGAGCAGGTTCGGCACTGTCGCCCGATCCACCACCGCGTGCTTTTGCATTTACCCACCTGCACCATCTGTAGCAACCGGGATCCGCTTTGGACCGCCACGTTGGCCTACCAACTGCTCAGGCCCCGGTGGTTTGTCCCCAGCCCTGCGAGGGGGCTTTTCTCGCCTTTGGGCCTCCTGGCCAAACTTCTTGAATCCACTTCCAGACCTCCCCATATGTTTGATCACGTCGTAACAACACTTGCCCTCCCAAGAGGTCGATTCTAAACCTCCACTGGGCCTCCGCACCCTCGGAAACCCCACGTTTGCTAGTGGATCAATACTTTCATGTCATTGATAACATGATTTCCTGAGCTCAGAATCGGCATCTCCAGTCTGATGAACTTGCTGTCTGAGGGAGAGTTGCGATCCAAGTGTATTACCTCGCCGCTGGATTCAATCTGCATAGTAAGTAAACACTGCGGTAAAGGCTGCCCAGAGGTTACATAGCACTACCTATTAATAACACAGGCGGGGGGTGTAAACGGCAGGGATGACTATATTGGTAGTAAGCACAACGCAGGTATGGGCGGGGATTGGTAATACGAGGTTTTATATCTTCCGATGCCAATGGTGAATGAGAAGAGTGAGTTTAGAGGGGAAAAAGAAAGTTAGACAGGGGCCTGACCGGGAATTGAACCCGGGACCTCCTCGATTTTAAGCTACGATGAGCCTTGGATTATCTCCCGAACGAGGAATCATACTACTAGACCATCAGGCCGGTGTCCATATTGTTGGGCATAAGGCTAAACAAGAGGCTGTCATGATTCACACCAGGTAATCCTTACCATCATACTGCGCTTCCTTTCTAGGAACACGCTTCCAACCTCCAACACCACCCCATATTCCACTTCCGCGTCCGTGGTACGAAGACTTGTCGACCATGGCGCCGAACGCGCAGACGCCAACTGAGAAACTTCTCACTATATTTGCCGGTCTCAAGAACCGGAATCAAGACGTTCGCATACAGTATGCCCAGGAACTACGTCGCTTCGTGAGTCTACTACAATTGACGTAGTCGATTCTGTGGTGTTCAGCATCACTCCGATAGGTGTCGACGGAAGTAGCTGATATGTCTTCCGATGCCTCTGCTAAAATCTGGGACGAGACTATCAATCGAAAGCTCTTCGAACTTACGCACAGCCAAAATACAGCAGAGGCGTCCGGTGGCTTAATGGCTATAGGTTCGGCGACCGTTTTCTTTGCGTCATGGATTTTGCTTTACCATTACCCCAGATTCTCTCCTTGGTCTTGAATCTGACGAAACAATCGAAGCGAAGAGGAATCTCTTTCGATTCTACAATTATGTCAAGCACTTACTCCCAAATCATGAGGTTGGCCTCATGCTCGCGGCATCTAAGATACTCGGGCAGATAGCAGAAATTGGAGGGGCCGCCTTTGGAGAAAGGTTTATGGACTACGAAGTTCAAGCAGCCATCGACCTGATACAACCTGATAAACACGAATCCCCTCGTCATGCTGGAGTTCTCATTTTGAAGGAGCTGGCACGGAACAGTCCCACATACTTCCATCCACACATCAGTGTCGTTTTTGACAATATCCTCATTCCCCTACGTGATCCTCGAGTGCATATTCGAGAAGGAGCTGCGGAATTGTTAGCGGGCTGCCTCGACATCATAACCACAAGAGAGCGCCAAACCAAGAGTCCTTATTTATACAAAATACTCCAAGACGCTCAACAAGGCCTCAAGAGCAATTCGATGGACGTCGTACATGGGTCACTGTTGACGTATCGAGAGCTGTTGCTTCACGCTGGAATGGTGGGTCGTCCATCCTTGGAATGAAGAAGCTAAACTCACCTGTTTCAAAAGTTCATGAGAGAGAACTATCTCGATATCGCTGAACAGATTCTACGCTTCAAAATGCATAGAGATCCTCTTATTCGGAAAATGGTCATCACCATGATTCCCTCATTGGCCGCCTATGATACACAGACGTTCACAGAACACTTCCTGCACAAAGCAATGGGTCACCTTCTGACGCAACTAGAGAAGCCCACTGAACGGAACTACGGTATAATTGTTCATGAGTTACTTCGTCACAGGGGCTAATCTTGAACCTAGCGTTCATTGCTATTGGTCACACCGCCAACGCTGTCGGGAGCGATATGAAACCCTTCTTGGATTCAATCATGAATCACATCAAGATTGGTCTGCAAGGTAGAGGGTGAGCATATTATGCGCTTTGATCAGGCTTAAATCTCACTGCTTCCGAAGGCGAAAGAATGCCCCATCTGAAGAACCCCTTTTCCAATGCATTGGAATGTTGGCAGCAGCTGTTGGCCCGAATCTGACGAAACTGTTGCACGATCAGCTTGATCTCATGATGAGCTGCGGTTTGAGCGAACCTCTTAAGAATGCCCTCGTCGTTATCGCCAAGCACATTCCTCCCCTTCTGAAGACGATACAAGGTGGCTAGTGTACAAACGAATTCATAAATATCGTATCACTCACCAATCAGTCAAGATCGACTACTGGATCTTCTCTCTCATGTTTTGAGTGGCCAGCCGTACAAACCACTTGGTGCCCCCCCACCTGTCGGTCGACCGGAAGTGGCAAATATCACAACGAATGTTACGGCATCGCAGGTGAGTGCAAGTGTATCCTTGGATCCGATATTAGCTGACGCCAAGAAGGTTTCTCATGACAAGAGCCCTGAACTCCTCGCTCTTGCCCTCACGACGCTTGGTTCCTTTGACTTCAGCGGTTTGTGTTTAAGCTACACATAACTATCAGAGCTTCAACATCCGTCATATAGGTCATGTTCTCAACGAATTCGTGAGGAATTGTGCTGTTCCTTACCTCGAGGATGATCACGCAGAAGTCAGACGGGCTGCTGCCTTGACTTGTTGTCGACTTTTTGTTCGCGATCCCATTTGTTATCAATCAAGTAGCCATGCAATCGAGATTATCAGCGATGTTCTAGACAAATTGTTGACAGTGGGAATCGCTGATCCTGGTACATCTTTCATTTTCTCTATTCTTCGTGCATTGCTCATGCATTTTCTGTAGATTCTAGTATTCGCCACACAGTTTTGGTTTCCCTTCACGAGAAATTTGACAAGCATTTGGCACAGGCAGAGAATGTTCGTTCTATATTCATCGCTTTGAACGACGAAGTATTTGAAAACCGTGTTATCGCTGTCGGTCTCATCGGTCGACTTGCGAGACACAACCCCGCATATGTAATGCCGTCATTACGCAAGGCACTCATTCAGCTTCTCACTGAGCTTGAATATTCGACGGTCGTGTGAGTTTGTCCTATTTTATGACCCTTCGGTACATGAGCTCACTTTGTGATAGACGGAGCCGGGAAGAATGCACGCGTCTGTTAACACTGCTTGTGAGCTCTACACAGCGGTTAATTAAGCCTTACGCGCTACCTATGCTCCGGGTGTTATTGCAAAAAGCGAACGACGTCAACCCTACTGTCGCTGCCAACGTCCTCATGTGCCTTGGGGAACTAGCTTGTATTGCTGGAGAGGATGCACTTCTCCATGTGCCCGATTTGATGGCGGTCATCATCGCGAGGCTTTCGGATCCATCGATCAGTAAACGGGATGCTGCGCTTCATGCTCTAGGCCAAGTGTGCTCCAGCACGGGTTATGTGATTACACCTTTGGTGGACTACCCACAATTGTTACCGCTTTTATCGAGAATTCTCAGAACAGAGGCAACCAAGAACGTGAGACGTGAGGTGGTGAAGGTGCTGGGTATCCTGGGAGCATTAGATCCATATCGAAGAAAGGTGTGTCCTACCCTTACTTGTCTCCAAACTAATCCTCACGATCATATTTAGAGTCGACCTGATGATGAGGCTGCCAGTGAAAAGGCGGTATCTGCTCTCAATCAGGTGCCTGTAGCCCAGTACAATGCGGTATCTGGAGCGGATGACTACTTCCAGACTGTGGTTATCAATTCCCTCCTAGTCATCTTGAGGGACCAATCTTTGAGCAGCCACCATCATACCGTGATCGAAGCCGTTATGTCTATATTCAAAACTCAAGGTCTGAAATGTGTCACTTTCCTACCACAAGTACGCCAGGAGACCCATTCTATCATCCTACTTAACTCATCTTCATCTTCCAGATCATCCCCGCCTTTACTACCGTCACCCGTACTTCAATTGCGAGGTTACAGGAATTCCATCTCCAACAGCTCGCTATTCTGGTAGGCATAATCAAACAACATGTACGCAACTACATGCCGGATATCTTCGCCTTGATCACTGAGCTATGGGAAAATGTCATTCTCCAACTTCCAATCGTCGCCTTGATTGAGGCCCTTGGTAAAGCCCTTGACGCTGAATTCAAGCCCTTCCTACCGACGATCCTTCCTCTTATTCTCAAAGTGTTTGAGGGTGGTCCACCTGATGACAAGAGGAGCGCTGTACAGATCAAAGTCTTTGATGCTTTCCTGACATTCGGCTCCAACATTGAAGAATACCTTCACTTGGTCATCCCAATCATTGTGAAAACGTATGAGCGCGAGGGTACCAACCAGCTGCGCAAGAAGGCTATCCAGACGATCCATGGACTGTCGCGACGAGTGAATTTTTCTGATCACGCCTCCCGCATCATACATCCTTTGGTCAGGGTGCTGGATAATTCGAATACAGAACTCAGGATCTCGGTTATGGAAACGTTGTGTTCTTTAATGATGCAACTGGGAGCGGATTTCGCCATCTTCGTTCCTACTATAAACAAGGTATATCCCCATTGACTGCGCTGTGCATCATTGTTAATCAGCTCTGGTAGAGTCTTATGCGGAACAAGGTTACGGCGCATCCTGTGTATGAAAGTATGATCACTAAGCTTTTGAACGGCGAGCGTCTTCCACAAGACATGGCTCTGCAGGATTCACTGTACGTCACTTCAACTCGAGCCTTCTCTGCATACTTAACTATCAACAGTGAACCCAACAAGACTCCGGAATTTTCAGCACCTGCAGAAGCCACAAAAATGACTGTCAACCAACAGCATCTGAAACAAGCATGGGATGTATCTCAAGTCGCCACACGAGAGGATTGGTTCGAATGGATCCATAGGCTGAGCGTCGAATTTATGAAGGAGTCACCATCTCATGCTCTAAGGGCATGTATGAGCTTGGTCGATATCCATCCTCCACTTGCTAAGGAATTATTCAATGCTGCATTCCTCTCTTGTTGGAGTGAGCTGTATGATCAATATCAGGTGCGGTTGGATTATGTGCTTTGTTTCCTCTTACTGAATCCGGTAGTAGGAAGATTTAGTGCGCTCGATCGAATTTGCAATAACATCCAACAATGCTCCATCGGAGCTCATCCACCGCTTACTGAACTTGGCCGAATTCATGGAACACGAAGAAAAACCGCTTCCCATTGAACACCGAACTCTCGGCGAGTACGCCATGAAGTATATGGCTTATGCCAAGGCTTTGCACTACAAGGAACTGGAATACTTCTCGGAAGCATCGCCCGCCGTTGTTGAATCTCTAATTTCCATCAATACTCGTCTCCAACAGCACGATGCCGCCTGGGGCACGCTCATCACTGCACGGGAGCAATACAATGTAACCAAGCATGAAGAGTGGTATGAAAGACTGGGTCGCTGGCAAGAAGCACTTCAAGCTTATGAAAAAGCAGCCGACAATGACCCCCACGATCTTGAAGTCCAATATGGCCGTATGAAGTGTTTGCATGCACTCGGCGAATGGGACCAGC